TCAGTCAGCTTTCTCTGGGTCATCCCCATGACAAACAGCGCCAGACTCTCAGTAGCTACGACAGCAAAAGTTGATTTCTTGCTCATGTCATAAGTCATCTCATATGAATAGGAGATGGGACCGTCTCCTCCTGTAAGTCCGCATTGCCCGAGGATCAGTCCCCATGCTCATTGGGACTCTGTTCCACAGTTTCTTCATTCCAAGATTCAAGCTGAAGAGGCAGTTCTAATCCAGCACCTTGCCATTTTCAAGGAAGAGGGAAAAGAGAAAAGATGAGAAACCACAGTGACTCTGAAAACTCTTGCTCAGAAGTGGTACCTGTCACTTTCACTTATATTTCATTAGTTCAAACAAGTCATATGGCCAAGTCTGAGGTCACTGGGTGGGAGGTATAATTCTCCTATAGAGAAGGACAGCAGATACTGGAAGCAGTATTGTAGCTAAGAGAAGGATGGACCTTGAACACCAGATCCAGTAGTTGATAGCTATTGTTTAGAAAACCACTACTACTTTCTGAGACAGACAATGTAACCGGGAAGCTCTATTACAAAGCCACTTTCTTTGCCTGTAAATACGGTCTGGAGGGACACAGAGTGCTGTGTAAGGGCCTCAGCTGGAGCCCATTACCTTAATCCAAGAGTGAGTCAGTGGATTTGGGGTGAAGATTGTGTACAGGGAATGGAGACAAACATTTGGGTAGAATAGTTGTTCTAAAGGAAAAACAGACAAGACCATCCACCCAATTAGAGGTGGGGTTGGAAGAATATAAGTCAAAGATGATTTCAATATTTCTCCTAACTAGCTGGGCTGTAAAGCATTGGAACATGTTATTGAGTTGACGGCAGAGGACTTTCTAAAGATTTCTCAGAATCACAGCACGTTGGCTTTCAAGGACAATATGCAACAGCTACAATGTGCCATAAGGAGCATTGCGGTTGGCCTGAAAACTCTGGGCTTGTTCCTAGGCTAGGCATTTATTAGCTGGGTGGCTGTGGGCAAATTCCTTCACTTCTCTCTGCAATTCAGTTTTTGCATTTGTAAAAATGGAGGTAACGATACATACCTAGCAGAATTGCTTGAGGACTAAATTTCCATGAAAATTATTTACAATGATTTATGAAGTATGATTATCAGAGTCTTGGTTAGAAGTTTCTCCTCAGTCTTAACCACCTGATAATTATATTAATTATATAATGTCTTGGGTTGTTCAGGGCTCTTACCACTTCATTTTGAACACCGTTTAGAAGTTTTGTTGTTGTTGTTGTTGTTGAAAACCAGGGAGGCCAGCCCGATAATACAAACCATGGATCACAGACTCAAATGGGTAAAGTCACCAGACAGGCAGTTAAAATGTGGGTTGGGTCTGGAAAATGTGAAGCACATTTGTAGGAAATATTAAAACATGGTGGAAAGAAGTAGGTCTCTGTTATAGAAAACACAATAGTGTACACAAAACGACAAAGGACAATTGCTCCTCTTTGCCTCAGAACCCGGAACCATAGGAGTGGCTGGGCCACTTGTGACCTGCAGAATGAGAACCAGCTGAAGCAGCAACTTCTCAGCCCTCGCAGGATTTTGCTACACAGGAATTACTCCAGGTTTGCCAGATAGTCTGGTTGTTCAAACTGCTGGAAATCTGGGTAGTTTTGTGACATTTCCCAGTTATTGAATATTGGCATCTAATTAAAATTTTTTCAAGAAAACTCTATGCAGTTACAACACATCCGTAGGCTTTGGGTTTACAGGTTGTCACCCAATTGTTGCACAAAAAGAGAAGAGACTCACACAGTTAATGCAGAAAACATTACTCATTTCGAAAGTGAGAAAAGAATAGAGATTCAGGGAGAGGAGGCAAACATTAATGAGGAAATTGGCAAGAGGAACTATTCATTAGTGCAGTGGAGATAAACTTCCAGGGGATATCACAGAATCTGAGACGTCTAAGATCTCCTAGTCTCATGTATTTAGATTTAGATATAAATCCAGACACATGGCCTGGGCTCCCCTTTGGCCGGGGAGCTGTGTCTAGGCTGGGCAAAGGCCCAGGAACAGGAAACGGGGCTGCTGTCTCCTCCGTGTGTCTGCAGTGCCCAAGAAGTGGCTTGCATTAGGGCAACACTGCCTTTTAGTTCCATGATTCCAACCTCTCGGGCTCACCTTTACTTTCCAATCATCTCTAGACCACACTGTTTTGAAGAACTGTTGGATGAAGTTTCAGACAGTACCCAGACATATTACTCTTTCAACCCCAGGATGCTAGGATTTCACCCATGAGTAAGAAAACCCCACAGCTGGCTTGTCTCCCTGTCCTCGGCATTCCTCTCCTCAGCTCAAGCACTGCTCAGCCTCAGCTTGACATTTAAGATTTCTGGTTGTGCTCATCTTCTCTTCCCAAGGAAGACAGCTTTCAGGAGACAACCTAACAGAGTGAGTTCCGTGTGGATTTTTAAACATTCAACTCACCATTTGGAAACAGCCGTCACTCTCCTTCCTCTTTTCAAAGGGCCACACAAATCAGTTTGCTTTGGGAGCCGGTTTTGTTTTGTTTTGTTTTAAAGTATTGCCCAATTCCTTTTTATGGTGCTTTTCCTCCGGATTTTTGTGTCATTTCAACTTTCAAATGGCAAAGTTATAATTAAGAGTCCCGCTTGCTATTTTATGTCCCTTCTAGGTTCCTCCACTTCATTTAAACCTTTTCTTTTAGCCAGATTGGAGTTCATAACAACTTTACTACACCGTAAGATAGTCTTAAGGTTAAGAAGTTACGAGGAAGTGAATGTATCATTCGTCCTTACTTATTCTTTTCACTGTTGTGTTATGTTGCTTACGTATTTTCATTAATAAGAATATGATTGACAACTTTGGAATTCTTATTTCGCAATTTTGTTTGTCAACTCAGGGCAGATTGTTTTCCTTTTCCCTTTTTGCTAGGAGACTAGAAAAAAGGTAATATTTTCCATTAAGTTTTTCTTTTGCCACACAAGCTCCTAGGTGCCAGGTGCTATTTTAGTAAAAGGTCCAGATTTGGAGACTGAATACGAATGCCTTTTCTCATTAACAAATACTTCGAGAACAGCACGATACAAATAAAATCTCTCCCTAGGAAAAGTTTTCCTGACTTTATACTGATTAGAAATCTGGACTACATTCATTCATTCATTCATTAAAACATAATTATTGACAACCTACTATGTGCCAGACACTATTCTAAATGCATGGAATACATCTGTAATCAAGACAGATAAAATTTCCTGTCTTTAAAGGGCTTATATTCTAGCAGGGGGAGATAGATACTAAACGAAAAAAAAATAATAAGTCAATGATAAGTGCTCAGAGGAAAATAGTAAAGGTGAGAGGAATGGGTAGGCATGAAATTTCAGTCTAGATACGGTTGTCAGGGTATGCTTCCCTGAGTAAGTGATGTTGGGAGGGAGGGATACAGATTGTGCAAGGACCTTGTAAGCCACTGTAAGGACTAAGCCTTTACTCTGGATGAAAAAGGGAGTTATCACAGGGTTTGGGCAAAGGAATGAGTTGATTAGTCTTATGTGTTAAAAGGCTCACTTTGGCTGCTGTTGAGAACCAACTGTGGGGAGGGATGGGGCATGAGTGGAAGCACATAGACTAGTTAAGTGGCTTATGAGTTAATACAGGAGAGAGATGATGGTGGATGGAACCAAGGCGTAACAATATGGTGCATGTTTGGAAGGATTTCCAGACAGTTTCAACATAAGTTATGAGAGAAAGACAGAAGAGCCAAGGATGACCGAGTCCAAGGCTTTTAACCCAAGCAATTGGAAGGACAGAGCTGCCATTTACTGAAAGGGAGAAAGCTGTGTGGGTTGCACAGGTTTTGGGGGGAAATCAAGAATTTGCTTTGGAAATTGTTAAGGTTGGGATATCCGTTAGAAGTCTAAGTGGGAAAACCAAAAAAGTAGTTCGAAATGCAAATGGGGGGGGCACCTGGGTAGATCAGTTGGTTCAGTGTTGGGCTCTCTACTCAGCTTGGAGGCTGTTTGAGATTCTCTCTCTCTTTCTCTCTCTGCCCCTCCCCCACTCACACTAATGCACTCTCTCTCTCTCTCAAAATAAACATTTAAAAATTTTTAAGAAATGCAAATTGGATCTCAGGAGAGAGAAATATGCTGGAGACACATATGTGGGGTTGTTGGCCGTAGAAAGGGAACTCAAAGCCATAAGAGTGGATGATCTCCTTGGAGGGAGTGAGTGTGGTGTCCTGGAAGTCCAGACAAGGTAGTTTACCAAAGAGGAGGGAGCAGTCTAATGCAGCTGAGAGGTCAGTTAAGGATTCGCTGCTATATTTAGTGGAGTAGAAGTTGTCAGTTATCTTGGTCAGATCAGTTTCTGTGATGCTTTGGGAGTAAAACCCTAATTAGATTGAGTGGAAAAGATAATGGGAAGAAAGGAATTGGAAACAATATGTTTAGATGCAATGGAGAGATAAGAAATGGAGCAGGGATAGTAGGGTCAAGAGACAGTTTATTCCTTAAGATGGAAGAAATAATATTTTTAAAAAATGTCAGACACCTGGGTGGCTCAGTCGGCTAAGCCTCCAACTTCAGCTCAGGTCATAGTTTGAAGGTTCGTGGGTTCAAGCATCGCATCGGGCTCTCTATTGTCAGCGTGGAGCAGGCTTCCGATCTTCTATCCCCTTCTCTGTCCCTCCCCTGATCTCTCTCTCAAAAATAAATAAACATTAAAAAAAACAATTAAAACTAAAAAATGTTGATGGCAATAGTCCAGCAGAGAGGGGTAAATTAGTAATATAGGAGACTTGTTGGAATTATCATTTGAGATGGGGTTCAAGAGCGGAAAAACTGGCTTTCGCTAAGAACATGAAGAGTCCATCCCTAGTCGTGGCTGGCAGGAAAGCAGAAGATATGGGTACCAATCCTCACCTAGTTAAATTTGGTGTTTTTTTTTTTTTAATGCTTCAAAAAAAAATTTTCCCCAGTGAAGAAAACACAGTCTAGGGCTACCAAAGAGCACTGGCGTGCCTAGATAGGAACCCTAATTTTTTTTCACTCTATGAATCTATCTTAGAAGGGATAGGTCCACTTCTACTCATTGTGGGTAAGACATGTACCCTTAGTTTTTCTAGTTTCGATTTCACTGTCTTATTTCTAATTATAACAGCCTGGCAAATTCCCTTCCTCTTTGGACCTCGTATTATGTCAATTCTTACGGAGAGTTACCCCACACACCCACCCAGTTCTGTTCCTCCACCCCTCACTGTTCTCCTTCCTTGACCTGCTCATTTCTAATCTGGTCTCCAGCATTTCAATTTCCTCAGCTGTGAGGAAGAGGACAATTTGCTTTCTACCTCCTAGGTTGAGAGTTTAAATAAGTCTACGTGAAATGGGTTTAACCCATGTAAAATAATAAAAAGAAGAGGAAAAGTGGACAGAAGAAGAGACTACTGAGTGTCCATTTGCTTTGACTGAGCCCCTACTCTACCATTTCAAAGCACGATATGCATATGAGCTCCCCCACATTGCCCACTGTGTTAGCTGTAGAGTTTATAGTCACAATAGATTTGGAAATCGGGTCACATTTATAATAAATGGACACACTTATAATAGGTAACATTTACTGAGCAATGCCTATGTTCTAAGGCACTTAGCTAAGCCCTTTCCACATGTCATTTAGTCCTGGGCCTCACAATAACTTGAGGTATGTATCTTCCTCCCCATTTCAGAAACCAAGAGAGATGAGAGAAAAAGAGGCTCAAATAATGTGCAATTTTGTATCCCTTCCGCTCTTTGGCATTACTGCCACTTTCCAAGCAAATGTAGTCTATATTTATTTATGTGTGGTTATGCAGGTGTATCCAGATTTAGCCCTGTGCCCCACGGCTCTTCTTCATGTTACAAGGAATTCATCATGCTATTATATTCATAAGCTACCCCAGTGTATTTAGGATCAATTTATAAAACTTGACTCCTGTACAATATTTCAAAAACATGTTTACAGATTATCAGAATTCATATTGCTTACCACATGTTGGGCATTCTACTAGGTGATAAAAAGGGGAACAATGCAAACTCGCTCCTCCCAGGAGCTCAGATGCTTCTCCATAGGAAAGTCAATTATTCATTCATTCATTCGGTATTACTGAGTGCCTCAGGGCCATGCCAAACACTATAGTTTAGGTAAGCACAAATCAACCTAGAATTACAATACTTGCTAAAAACAGATGTTCAGGTAATAATGTATAATGGCCTTTATCTTAAAAGGTCCTTTTAGACAATATGGTAAGTGCTTACCTCTAGAGCCACTTAAAGGCTGCGTAAACTTGAGCTAATTTCATAACCTCCTCAGGCCTTTGCTTCCAGTCTTAAAAAATGAGGCTAGGGGGGCGCCTGGGTGGCGCAGTCGGTTAAGCGTCCGACTTCAGCCAGGTCACGATCTCGCGGTCCGTGAGTTCGAGCCCCGCGTCGGGCTCTGGGCTGATGGCTCAGAGCCTGGAGCCTGTTTCCGATTCTGTGTCTCCCTCTCTCTCTGCCCCTCGCCCGTTCATGCTCTGTCTCTCTCTGTCCCAAAAATAAATCAACGTTGAAAAAAAAATTAAAAAAAAAATGAGGCTAGGAATAGTATCTATCTCCTAGGGTTGCTGTGAGGACTAAGCAAACATATGTACAGTACTTAGGGCGGTGCCTGGCCCATCATAAGCGCTGCACTTGTTGTTATTAGCGAGATACAGATTTACCGTGTGCCTGAACGGCTACCGGATTCCTGACTGTAACAACTCAGCAAAGGATAGTAACGGCTCTGTAAGTTCTTGTTGAACAGAACTTCTTGAAGTCTGTTTCCCCCACCTTATCCCTGTAGACATGCCTAGAGTAGCCCCAGGTTCCTTTTCTGTCATATTCCTTAACTTTGAATCCAATGTTACATCAATTATTGTCCTTCGTCTCCTTCCCATTTGTTTTCCTTGGGGAATAAAGGAAGCTGACATCCTTTTACATCCCGGACCATCACAGTGATTTTTCATTGTTTGTTATTGGGAGAGTTCTTACCAATTTTACCTTTAAAAATGTTTTTATTATTTTTCTTGTTATCTAAGTAATATGTGCTCAACATAAAAACAATGCAAACGCACAGAACTTTGTAAGAGAAAGCGAATGGCCGTCGTGATCCCACAGCCAGAGATAACCACTGCTAACTGCTTCTTACACATGCTTCTAGATTTCCACTAAGCATACATTTAATAGCATGTATGGTTAGAGACAAGAAAAAAATGCAAATAAAAATGAGATCATAGCATCCATACTGTTCTGCAGTATGCTTTTTTCACTTATAGATTTTGAATGTTCTTCCATGTACAAATAGATCTTTTTTATATTAGTGGCTACTTGGTTTCCTTTTACATATCTAGTATAGTTTGCTTAAAGTTTCCTACTGGCTTGTTAGACTTGTACACCATTACATGTTTTTGTTATTACAGACAATGCAATAAACACCTGTACATGTATTTTTAGACACATGTATAAATATTTCTGAAATATATACTTTTTGCATATGTAAGCCTGAAGTATAAACTCCTAGAGGTGGACTTATCTGGTCAAAAAGAACATATATACGTATTTTTTCCAAAATTGCCAAGTTGCCCTCCAAAAGGATTTACCCAATTTGTACTCATAAGTGTATGTGAATGCCTGCTTCTCCACACTTAACTGTATTCTAAGTATTACTTTTTTTTTCTTAGTTTATACCAATCTTGAAATTCTATTTCTCTCAAATCTCAAACCATAGTTTAAAGCCCCAGGAAGATCAAAACATGGAACAAAGTGTTTTTACAAACAGCAAAACATTCCAAATCAGTTACAATAGTGGGGTGTTTTCAATCAAACTATTACACCACTAGATGTTAACAGTTTTAAAACTGTTCTAACGTCCAGAAGAGCAAATCTGGTTCTGTGATTAAATCGCTTAGTGCACAGCCCCTGCCCACATACCTCCTTCTCAGCTGGGTGTGTGGAATAGGAGAGGCTGCTGGTATGAGGGACAGGGCAAGGAAAGTGAGAAAGCAAGAGAAGGTCAGAAGGGTTCAAAATCTAGTGTCATGTGGTAATTCATCTAGGACAGTCCCTTGAGTGTGCTCTGGACCTCTGTTCATGCTCCTCCCTGCCACGGCTGGTCTTCTTCGCTTCCAGGGCCTGATCAACAAGGGCTCCCTTTCCAGGGTCGGTTCTAATCACCCTCTTCTCTCGGAAGCCTTTCCTGAAACCTAGAAAACCACTCTTCCTAAGGCCTGCCTATATCCTATATCTAAACACACACCCACCCGAGTACCTGTCACATTTTGTGCCACATGTTTACAAAAAGCATGGGGACGCGGAGTTAATGGTGACTGAACATTCACTGACATGGAGAGACCTTAACAGAGATGAGACTTTCCGTTGTTCACAGAAATGGGTGGATTCAGATAAAAGGAGATATTGAAGTATTGGGCTGAAGCCACTTGACTTGTTATAAAGCACCAATTCCAAACATCCCTCCTGGCTTTACTTGTTTATCCCTGCTTCTCCCCACGAGAAACAGGGGAAACACATTTCAATCTTACAACAAAAACAAGAGGGAAAACTATCAGGCTGGGGAACAGAGGACAGCCTTAGCAGGACAGTCCTTAGCAGAGGGCAGCCGTTCACCTGCCTGCTTCAGGCACAAGATAAGTTTGGTAAAAAGGAATGGGGAAAAGAGAGTAGACTCGGATTAAAACAAGAACCGACTCTCCAATGTATCTTTAATAGCAGAGACAGAACAAATGAAGTCGAGAAGCTATTCGTGCCAAGATAAAGTTGTGAGTGCCCCGAATCCGAGGCAAGTACTTAGCTCCTTAGACTAGAGCCTGCTTGAACTTTTACGCCAGTTCCCCCCCCCCCCACCATGTCACTGCATTTCTCCCCATGTCGTAATATCAGAGTTTTAGTCAAAAGGACAGACCCAGGAAGGGCGAAGGTTGCTGACCTTGCCCCGCTCCCTCCAGGCGACAGCGTCTGCCTGGCTCCGCGCCCTGCTCAGGTAGGCGTTTGACAGGTAAGTCTTCAGGCGACAGCGATCTTCCCCGCCCCATGCACCTGTTCGGCGGCCAGCAGCCTCCCGCCACCAATCCCCGACCCTGGGCCACCTAACTGGCCGCTAGCCCCCTCCGGTGAGCTCGGCCCGCTGCGGAAGCGCCCCGACCCTCCGCGGGCGCGGCAGGGCGGCCAGGGGAAAGTGCTCGCCGTCACATGGAGGCCCCGGCCCGCCCCATTGGCTGTGGCCGAGCCAGTCGCGGCGCTCGCTGGCTGCGGTTGGTCCCGGAGCTGCAGCGCCTGCACGGGCCCGGAGTCCATGTTACGCTTTGTCTAATTCCCCCCGTTACAGAGTCATGTGCTGCTGCTCCCGTCGTCGCCGCTGCCGCCGCCCGTGGTGCCCCGGCTCCTCCGCCGCGCTTCGAGGTGGCAGCCGCGGGCGGGGCCTCGGGAGCAGGGTCCAGGGCGCCGCGCGCCTTCGCCGCCCCGGCGCGTCCCGGTGCAGCCGCCGCCCGCCGCAGGTGATGCCGCCACCTCCCGCCTCAGCATAAACCGTGGCTCGGCGGCCAAGCTGCCCCGACTGCCCCCCAAGGTTAGTGCTAGCCTCGCCGGGGCCGGGGCCGCGCAGGTGGGAGCCGCCCCGGAGCCGAAGCGCGCGCCCCCGGCGCAGGCGTCCTGCCCCGCGGCCGGGAACTGGCAGCGAGAGCAGAGGCGGGAGGGGGCAGCATAACCTGCGGACAGCAACA